GGTGGACTTCCACTCCCAGAATTCCCCAGCCAGCATCCTTTAAGACAGGTGGACTTCAACTCCCAGAATTCCCCAGCAAGCTGGCTGGGGATTCTGGGAGTTGAAATCCACATGTCCACCTGTCTTAAAGTCCACCTATCCAAGGTTGGGAAACCCTGGCTTGGACTGTTAATAAGCCCAAATAGGATTTAAAGGTTTCTCTTAAACCCAACAGCCCTGCTGTTTCTTAATCACAACTTTGAGGAGTTTTTCAAGATTGGCTTCAAAGACCCACCCAATATCCAATTAGGGAATCTGTGCTGGGGAAATGAGAACGCTACGTGTGCCACTATAAAATGCTCTCTCTCCTTTTTGCTGTTGTTCACTTGTTGGGATTGATTTACGTTTGCTGGGTTTTATCTGCTCTGATTTGGAGAAGGAGGTAGCTGGTTTTGGCTGAAGTTTGATTTGTGGCAAGCTCTGAAAATGCTCCAAGGAGACACAAGGCGGCAGTGCACACTCTCTGCAGAAATCTTCCCAGCAGGAACCTCAAAATCTTACTCTGAGAACAGTAGGGCCCCGTCCAGCCAGGAGTACAGCGGCATTCTCCATTGTGGGGGCTGCACGTCCCACTATTGTGACAACTGCACGAATGAAAACAATCGCTGCCCCAGAAGCCAACTGGACAAGCTGGAGAGAGAGGGAGAGAGAGAAAGAGAGAGAGAACAAGACAATATATCCCAATCTTTCCACCCTTGAAACCGAAAAGTATTTAGAAGTTGGAATATTAGGGTTGGAAGGGTCCTTGGAGGTCTTCTAGATCAACCCCCGCTCAAGCAGGAGACCCTATACCCTTTTTCAGACAAATAGCTGTCCAGTCTCTTCTCGGAAAACCTCCAGTGTTGGAGCATCCGCAACTTCTGCAGGCAAGTTTTTCTAATGACTAATCATTCTCACTGTCAGGAAATTTCTCCTTCATTCTAGGCGGAATCTCTCTCGTTCACGATCTTCCACCCATGGCTTATTCACCTGCCCTCGGGGGCTTTGGAGAATAATTTGACCCCCTCTTCATTGTGGCAGCCCCTCAAATATTGGAAGACTGCTAACCTGTCACCCCTAGTTCTTCTTTTCGCTAGACTAAAGGGGAACGGTAAAGGTTCCCCTCGCACATCCGTGCTAGTCATTTCCAGCTCTAGGGGGCGCTGGTGCTCATCTCCATTACAAAGGCGAAGAGCCAGCACTGTCCGAAGACGTCTCCGTGGCCATGTGGCCGGCAGGACTGAACACCGAAGGTGCATGGAACATTATTCCCTCCCCACCAAAGTGGTCCCTATTTTTCTCCTTGCATTTTTACATGCTTTCAAACTGCTAGGTTGGCAGAAGCTGGGACAAGGAACGGGAGCTCACTCCGTTATGTGGTGCTGGGGATTCGAACCGCCAAAATGCCAACCTTTCTGATCGACAAGCTCAGCGTCTTAGCCACTGAACCACCATACCCAATTCCTGCAACTTACGTTTTAGCCTGCAGCCTCCTAATCCTCTTTCTTGCTCTTCTCTGCACACTTTCTAGGGTCTTAGCATCTTTTTGTGTGTGTTGTGGTGACCAGAACTGGACACTTAACTATTTTAAATATTTTAATCAAACAGCTACAGTTCAGCAGCTTCTTCCCCAGAGATAAATACACTCTGTGCATGCACTGAAACTTCTCCCATCGGGATAGCGAGGCCAAGATACAAAAGGAATCTTGCGTTTAACATTCACCCACTTCATTCTTTTACCAGAAGCAAAACAGCTGCGTATTTAAAGATCAGCCCTGCTTCATAACTGACAGTTCTCCAAGCCACAAAAATACAAACAGAAGAATGGGAGGACATAAAAAAAAGGATTTTTGAATAATTTGTGCAAACTTGTTATATTAGGGGAAAAACCCACGAATGTGTGTGTATTGGGCCATATTGTGTTAACAAAATAAGTTTCAAGGAAAGTGTGCACAATTATGTGTAAAAATTGATGCGGCAATGGGAAAATAGATTTTGAAACGGGCAGAAGAGAATGGGATGACAATGAAATTTATTGGCTTTTCTGAAATTGATGCAGCATTTTTAGGGCAAGAAAATTCTGTCCTGAACTACATCAAACATTAAGCAGGTTCCCATATTACTTTACGCTGTCTAGACCCTGTTAAGATTGAGGAGATGTATAAAGTGCACAAATAAACATGTTATGATGGCTTGTTTAACCAATCATTTTAGCTTCCATATATGTATGTATGTATGTATGTATGTATGTATGTATGTATGTGTATATATATATATATATGTGTGTGTGTGTGTGTGTGTGTGTGTGTGTGTGTGTGTGTATGTTTGTATGTATGGTATTCAGCTTTGTTCGGGTATTTTCCCACATCATTATAGTTGTGTTTTTAAAGTTGTAGCGACGTTTCGTCAGAATCTCATCTGCCATCATCAGGCTTCTGTATAGTGTTCGTCTGCTACATATAGTGAAACGTTGCTACAACTTTAAAAGCACAACTATAATGACATGGGAAAATACCCGAACAAAGCTGAATACCATACATATAAATACCCGCAAAAACTTAAGAAAACAAATATATATATATATATATATATATATATATATATATATAT